TAATGAAAAAAAGGTCATCAATAAAAAGTGATTTACAGTATTAACAACATCTTGTTCAACAAACCACAACAGGAGAGTTTTGGTTCAATTCTACAGAGGATAAAACATGGATACAGTATTTATTTAATCTTTCTTTATGGAAAGAAAGATCTTTCTTCATTCTTCCCATTCCATCTTGATATTCACATTACAAATTAATGAATGAAAAAAGGTTGAGAAAGCGACATCAATATATTTATTCAATACAAGTCCCTTTATTTACTTTTAATCATATACAGTACTGTATATCTAACAACATTTTGCTTTATGCCATAAACAAAAGAGTATTGGTTCTGAAGTGTCACACAATGTCACACAGAGTGTAAACTACTCAATCCATTTTGATAGATTTTCTAATACAATAATTACCTAACTTTTTAAAATTTCTTTCTATGACTAGCTATATACATGTAAATTCAAGTGAGCACTGGATATAAAATAAACTGAATATTATTTTCAAAAATAAATTTTGTGCAAAAGCACTGGAAATTTGTAAGGTGTATCTCTTCATATCTAGATGTACAAGGTTTCTTAAGATGTACCCAGTAAGCTTGTTTTGATTTTATCATTGGAACAAAGTTGACAAATTTCTTCAGACTGAAGCTAAAATGAAAATATATACCACATGGAAACAAGAGTATTCTGTATAACTAAGAATTGAAATTGGTCTAGATGTTTGGGCAAAGTACACATGCAACTGAAATTGTATAAATTTTTAAGACAACAACGAGACAGAAAGCTTCCTTCAGCCTTTGTTAACTAAAACTACAAAATACCCTGCATTTTGTATTGTTCGCAAAAGAAAAAGTAAGGAAAATTAAGCACTTCAAACCTGCTCTACTGAAAATTTGGCATTTAAAATGTTTTGGAGAATATATTATTAAACAAGATTTTTCGTACATATTTTGATGTAATTCTTTGTGAGGCCAAGGAATCTTGAATGTGAATTTTATGTCTAGGAATGCTTCCTTGTGGTTGTTCAGCTACAGAAGTTTACCAAGTAACAAGTGGACTTGAGCAGATAATAAATGGACGTCTGACTAAAGTGACTCAATTGAATCAAAACTTTTACACAACCAGCACAAATGGCAAAAGCATAAGTTTATTCCAGCCTTGGGCACACAGGAGCTGAGATTTTTTTTTGTTTCAATAAAAGTAACTGTGAGCTAATAACTGAAATACTGTTAAAACAAAATGAAACTGAAGAGCAACAAATTCTATCAAGCAATAGAACTATTTAAACCTTATGATAAAACTGACAAGATGAAAAATAAAATCATTGGTCTTAAAAATTGAGCAATGAATAACAAATTACAAATGATAAACATTTTTCTCCGGATTTTACATTCTAGCCACTTAACTACCCGTATTTCTCATTTTAAAAATCTAAGACTAGCTTCATACTGCAGGAATAATTTTGAGAGATTAACATCGATGTTAAAGTTTGCTATATCATATAAAAAAAAAATAAGATTCTGCAACTAAGATGTACATTTGCGTTTCATTTTCTTTAGAAGTATATAAGCATTTCTACACAGTGATCTACTGAAAAATACATGTGGTTAAATATTGCCTACTTTATAAGTCATTATTGATGCAAAGTATTTCCTTTTGCCAACCCTTATGTTGTAGTTGGATTAATACAATATTCATAATGATTTATTTACAAGCTGTTACATTTTACCCTGAATTATAAACTGACAAGGACATGGAAGCTTTGCTAATGTAAAATCTACAACCTGTTTTATCTATACTCTACTATAATGACATTGGAAACTGATTGCAAATCTTAAACAAAAAGTTTCTGATTATATCCACTATTGTCCCACCTCTTAGAACCTTACCAAACTATCAATATCAATAACATGAATGGCACCTTAAAGTCTACATATACCTGATAAAATATTGAACAGTAAATAAATGATAAAATAAGGTACATATGAAAATATAAAAATGAGGTAATTATACAAACCAATAAATCATCTGTGTAAAATGGCACAGCACAGAAATTTGACCAAAAAAAGAGAAAGTAATAAAAATGCACCATAGAATAATCTGCCAACACCAAAAGTGTGTATAAAGCATTTAAAAAAAAGCAATTGTAAAATAACTTATATAAAGAAAAAAATACAATAAAATAATATGGGAAAATTATATATATTAAGAAAGCAATAAAAATTTTATTTCTGTTATTAACATTGCACTTGGAATCTACAACCATGCACTTGGTGGTTAAGGCTTTTATTGGACTGGTAAATATGTAGGTGTATGTCGACCAGTTTTAATAATAGGCACCATGGTTACGGGCTGCTTCTTGCACGATTAGATTCTGGTTTCCTGGTAGTCTAAGATAAGAAGACACTTCTTTCCATTTTTTCTCTTTCTATAAAATAAATATAATTATAGGGTTATTCCCCAATAAAACAAATGAATGTCACATCTGTGTTATGACAATGGTTAATTTAAGCCTTTTCCTACCAATGTTTAAACCTATAATGATGAAGTGAATTATACATACGTCCTTGATCTTTAGGTCAAGGTTATCTGGAACATGGTAGTGTATGTTCCAGACCTCCGCCTCTCTCCAGGCATTGTCAGTGTTACACGGATCATCCATGTAGCCCTTGTAAATTTGTCCTGAAGTAAACCCTGTAAAGGGGCCAGGATGGGGCTCCACAAACTGCTCAAAGAACTGAAATACAGGAAAAAATTGTCTAAAATACAAACATCATAAAATTACATCAACAACAAAATAAAACAGGAAATCTATAGTTAGTTTATGACACTGATAAGTAAGCCCTCCTTCAGATTTTCTTATTTGCATTATTCTAAAGCATACCTAAATCATTTGTTCTGTTATCACTGCACCTAAACAATTTGTTGTTCTGTTGTTACAATACCTCAATCAATTGTTATTCTGTTGTTACTGTACCTGAACCATTTGTTGATCTGTTGTTATGTACCAGAATCATTTGTTTTTCTATTGTTACCATTAAACCTGAATCAACTGTTGTTACTGTACCTGAATCATTTGTTGTTCTGTTGTTACTTTACCTGAATCATTAGCTGTTCTGTTGTTACCGTACCTGAATCATTTGTTGTTCTGTTGTTACAATACCTGAATCATTTGTTGTTCTCTTATTACTGCATCTGAATCATTTGTTGTTCTGTTGTTACAATACCTGGATCATTTGTTATTCTGTTGTTACTGTACCTAAATCATTTGTTGTTCTGTTGTTACCCTACCTAAACCATTTGTTGTTCCATCATCACCATACAAGAATCATTGTTATTATGTTGTTAAATACCTGAATCATTTGTAGTTCTACATTATCTTACCTGAACCATTTGTTGTTCTGTTGTTACTTTACCTGAATCATTTGTTGTTCTGCCATAACAGAACCTGAATCAATTGTTGACCTATCATTAATGTACCTGAATCTTGCTGTTCTGTCATTACTGAACTGAATCTGAATCATTGTTGTTACTTTAAATGAATCATTTGTTATGCTGTCATTAAAGTACCTGAACAATTGTTGTTCTATCATTTATGTACCTGAATCTATTGTTGTCATTAATGTACCTGCATCATTTGTTGTCCTGTTGTTACTTTTCTGAATCATTTGTTGTTCTATTGTTATGTACATAAATCATTTATTTTTCTGTTATGTTACTGAATCATTTGTTCTTCTGCTCTTATCATACCTGAATCATTTGTTGTTCTGTTGTTATGTACCTGAATCATTTATTGTTCTGCTCTTATCATATCTGAATCATCTGCTGTTCTGTTTTTACAGGACTTGAATCATTTTTTGCTCTATCATCAATGTACCTGAATCAATTGTGGTCACTAATGTACCTGTATCATTTCTTGTTCTGTTGTTATGTACCTGAATCATTTGTTATTCTAATGTTACCATTATACCTGAATCGTTTACTGTTCTGTTGTTATGTACCTGAATCACTTGTTGTTCCTTTGTCATGTACCTGACTCATTAGTTGTTCTATTGTTACCATTATACCTGAATCATTTATTGTTCTGTTGTCATGTACCTGAATCATTTGTTGTTCTGTACCTGAATCATTCATTGTTCTGTTCTTATCATACCTTAATAATTTTTTGTTCTGTTGTTATCTAACCTAAATCATTTGTTTTCTGTTGTTATTGTACCTGAATCATTTGTTGTTCTATTGTTACCATACCTGAATCATTTGTTGTTCTGTTGTTACTGTACTTTGAATTATTTATTGGTCTATCATTAATGTACTTAAATCATTTGTTCTGTTGTTACTTTACCTGAATCATTTGTTGTTCTTACTGAATCATTTGTTGTTCTGTTGTTAATTTACCTGAATCATTTGTTGTTCTGTTGTTACTGCACCTGAATCATTTAATGTTCTTTACCTGAATCATTTGTTTTTCTGCTCTTATACCTGAGTCATTTGTCAATCTGTTTTTATGTACCTGAATCATTTGTTGTTCTGTTGTTAGGTACCTAAATCATTAATTTCATTGTTCTGTTATTAATGTATCTAAATCATTTGTTGTTCTGTTGTTACAATACCCAAATCATTTGTTATTCTGTGGTTAATGTACTTTTAAAAATCATTTGTTGTTCTTTTGTTACGGTAAATAAATCATTTGTTGTTCTGTTATTATGGACCTAAATCATTTTTGTTAACTTAATCATTTGTTGTTCTGTTATTACTGTACCTGAATCATTTGTTGTTCTGTTGTTACAGACCTGAATCATTTGTTAATCTGTCACAACAGTACTTGAATCAATTTTCGTTCTATCATTAATGTTAACATACCTGAATCATTTGATGTTCTGTTGATACTGTACTTTGAATTACTTGTTGTTCTATTATTACTGTACCTGAATCATTTGTTGTTCAGTTGTTACATTACCGGAATCATTTGTTGTTCTGTCAATAATGTACCTGAATCATTTTGTTGTTCTGTTATTACTGTACCTGATTCCTTTGTTGTTCTGTTCTTATCAAACCTAAATCATTTGTTTTCCTGTTGTTTTCAGACCCGATTCATTGGTTGTTATCTTACCAGAATCATTTATTCTCTTGTTACTGTGCCTAAATCATTTTTTGTTCTGTTGTTATGGTAACTAAAGCATTTGTTGTTCTGTTGTTAATTTACCTGAATCATTTGTTGTTCTGTTGTTACAGTAAATAAATCATTTGTAATACTCTCTTACAGTACCTGAATCAATTGTTGTTCTATCATTTATGTACCTGAATCAATTGTTGTTATTTATATACCTGCATCATTTGTTGTCCTCTTGTTCTGTTCTTATTCATACCTGAATCATTTGTTGTTCTACTGTTAGCATTAAACCTAACTTATTTGTTGTTCTGTTATTACTGTACCTCATTCATTTGTTGTTGTGTTGTTAAAGTAACTAAATCATATGTTGTTCTGTTGTTACTGTATCTGAATCATTTGTTATTCTGTTGTTACTGTACCTAAATCATTTGTTGTTCTGTTTTTACCCTACCTGAATCATTTGTTGTTCTGTTGTTACTGTTCCTGAACCATTTGTTGTCCTGTTGTTTTCAGACCTGATTCTTTGGTTTTTATCGTACCTGAATCATTTGTTGTTGTTTTGTTGTTACAATACCTGAATGATTTGTTATTCTGTTGTTACTGTACCTAAATCATCTGCTGTTCTGTTGTTATGTACCCGAATTATTTGTTGTTCTGTTGTTATATACCTAATCATTTGTTGTTCTATTGTTATGTATCTGAATCATCTGTTGTTCTGATGTTATGTACCTGAATCATTTGTTGCTCTGCTCTTATTATACCTGCATCATTTGTTGTTCTGTTGTCATCTTACCTGAATCACTTGTTGTCCTGCTGTTACCTTATCTGAATCACTTGTTCTGTTGTTACCTTACCTGAATCATTTGTTGTTCTGTTGTTATCGTACCTGAATCATTTGTTGTTCTCTTGTTACCTTACCTGAATCATTTGTTGTTCTGTTGTTACAGTACAGTGAATCATTTGTTGTTCTGCTGTTACAATACCTGATTCATTTGTTCTGTTGTTACAATACCTGAATCATGTGTTGTTCTTCTTGTTACGGTACATAAATCATTTGTTGTGCTGTTGTTGTCTTACCTGAATCATTTGTTGTTCTGTTGTTATTGTACCTGAATCATTTGTTGTTCTGTTATTACTGTACCTGAATCATTTGTTGTTCTGTTGCTACCATACCTGAACCATTTGTTGTTCTGTTGTTACTGTACCTGAAGCATTTGTTGTTCTGTTGTTACAATACCTGAATCATTTGTTGTCATCTTACCTGAATCATTTGTTGTTCTGTTGTTACTGTACCTGAATCATTTATTGTCCTGTTGTTACTGTACCCTGAATTATTTGTTGTTCTGTTGTTACAATACCTGAATCATTTGTTGTTATTGTACCTGAATCATTTGTTGTTCTGTCATGTTAGGGTCAAGCTTGGTCTCAGACTCCTGGAAAATGTTCTCCAGAAACTTCCTACAGACAGCTGAGTAGAGGGACATGTCACCATATTCCTTACCCTACAGAACACAGAACAATACAATTTCCTACAGACAGCTGAGTAGAGAGACATGACACCATACCCTACAGAACAGAATGAAGAATAACTGGTGCATTGTTATAAAATGTCTATAAGTTCTCAAAGCTCATTCAAAATAAAACTGGATTAGGTAGCATCTGGATCACAATTGTTCGTAGGTGAATTTTCAATTCTTATCCTGATGATCACAACTCTAAGTTGTGCTGGCTTATCAGATAGCTACAGCTGATTGCCATCTCAGGCTCCAGGGCCATAAAATTTAGACAAGCTCACTTTTGATCTCACTTTTACAAAAGGAATTAATAATAGAAAAGTGAGACTTAGATCAAAAGTGAGCTCATCTAAGATTACACCCTGTACCTGGTTGTATTTGGGGGTTTCTTCATCTGATGTGTTTTACATGCTATTTTTTGCAGAATATGTTTATGAGTGAAACAATTTGATATAGATTCATGTATAAACAAATGGTCTACAATTTGTGAAAATATACAGAAATCAGAAAGATTCAAGAACAACATCACCATCCAAATTAGATGGAACTCCAAGACAAAGAAAATTTCCAAAATGGCTAAGTAAATGTGTATGGTTTGAATATCCCTAGTTTTGGAGGTAAGACATACATAAACTATGAGGAATATATAATCATCACTACTTGCACGTATTATGATCACTTTTTTCAACCACTAACAAATAGCCCAAACTACTACACATGCAATTTTCTTTGAACATTTCATCAAACTTACACTAGGCAGAGTGAACTCCCCTGATTCCTTCTTCTGAAATACAGCGACCTCTAGGACTTTTTTGCCATCCACCGTGATGAAGTTCTGCTGGTTCTGACCTGTAGACAGAAATCTCTTCCATCTGGACACGACCAACATCACACAATGATTCGGCCCCCATCTCCTCAACTTCCCTCTTCCTCTCATACCAGTACGACCCATGGGATTTCTGAAATATTAATTCTACTATTGTAGAATACAAAAATCGAAAAAATTTAAAACTTTAAGGTAAAGGCCCTAACCTTAGATGGGAGAGGTCAAACAAACATTTTTTAAAACTGATTTTACATGAAATTATATTTTAAAATTTAAATTAAAGAGTGTGTCTTACATAGGCATGTTGGAGGAGTCGAGCTCATATCGAATTGGTACACCGTCCCTGGTGATCCAAGATACTCTGTTGATTTCTATACTTTTCTCATTGATGACAAATGTAGCTGACAGATTCCACAGGGGTTTCTGGTACCCGGTAACCGACAATAAACTGGTTCTCTCATCCTGACTCTGACTGCTGCTCTCCATACGCTGTATGATCCTGAAAAATATATTAAGGAAGCTCCAGGGGCTGACAAATAGATTTTTCAAGCATTTACCCACGGGCAAGTGCATAGTCAAATTTCACTTGTCCTACTTCAATTTTTACTTGCCCCAGCACTTTATATTCATTATAACGAATTAGTTTGTCTCTAAATCGAAAAATTTTGCAGCCTAGGATTGTTGTTTTGAATATTGGCGACATTTAAAACCTCCTGCCATTAATTACTACGTACCATACAATCTTTTGATTGGTTATATGCTGTTTTATGTCCCGTTCGAGAATTTTCCACTCATATAGAGACATAAAATTGCTATCATATTTCAGCTATAGTCATGATATCTGTTATTTGTTTATGGACGATGTACTTATCATTGACTGTCGATCGTTTTCTGCCACATAACTGTCAAAACTTTCTCCATTTCTTCAATGCCAATTTGTCACTTTCAATCAAGTACAAATACATGTACTTAAAACTTTCGGTAAAACTTGTTATGAATTGCATAATGATGACACAATTAAACTGGTTTGCATACAAAGTGTGACAAACAAAGGAAGATAACTCTTACCACAAAATAATTTTAATTTCGTGGAAAATGATGACATTTTAAAAAATATTTATCGATTGATTTTTTTAAAAAGTCACTTGCCCACGGGCAAGTGCCTATTAAAAATTCACTTGCCCGCCTCTAAAATTCACTAGCCCGGGTGTCCGGCAATGGGATTTGTCAGTCCCTGAAGCTCTAAGCACTGAACGACAAAGAGTTCTAATTCCATAGGCCAGTAGACTGATTTGCTCTCGGATATAACATATTAAGCATTTTCAACATTACAACGTACAAAACTAAAGTAGATGAATACATAATACCCTGTACAGTGTGTAGGTTGTTGGGTATGCCAGGGACTTTAACAATGTTAGAAGCCTGAGATAATTTTATACCACGTTTTCAACTATCATCGATGCCCTGGCATACCCAACAAACTAGACAGTGATTCCTTAAATATTAAAAATGAAATTCTCAATCCATGTAATATCCATCCTACTTACTCAATAAAATCTGGATCCACCAGACTCTGTATAGATTCTCTGTATTCATCCACAGGTTTGGTGTACAGGACTGGATCATAGGTAGGATAAGGCTCCTGTATAACATATTTCACATGTTACAGTATGTCATCTTCAGATGCCTCTAACAAAAGGTTCTAAGTCTGTGCAACATGATACCTACCTCCCAGTTGACGTACTTGTCAAAGACAGGAAACCTCTGTATCTTAGTGTAGGGATACGGAGACTGACGACTAGCAATGTGAAGGGAGGTGGCAGTCTCTAATTCTGGCCGGGCCTGGGGATCTGCAAGAAAACAATGTACTACATGTATATATGTATAGATCACCCTTTCCCTTTTTCCTTACTTCTTAAAAACTGAATGAAAAGGTTTGGGATTTCCAAATCACTTCACTTATTTACATACTGTACATGTATTTAAGATATTAGTGTTAGAGATACTGAAGTTCAAATTTTACAGGTATGAAAGGGCTATGAATTTCAAACTTCTGCCAGTGACTTTCAAGCTTTCAAAATGAACTTAGGTCGAGGTTATGTCACAACTATAGAAAATACGGAAATATTAGTGTGAAATTAGAACATCCAGTGTTTTTCCATTTAAAATTTATGGATCAGACATAAATTGTATATTTCTCCTGCTTTTGACCTTCAACTTTTCAAACTGACCTGTCACAAGTTCATGAGGGTCATCAGCAATTTTTGTATAAAATTTTAAGTATTCCATTTTTAGATATGGCCAAGACAGGAATCAATTTTTTTTTCAAAAGGTCACCTTGTACTTGACCTAAGTCAAGGTCAAGACACACTGAGTTATATGGGACTGTGTGTCTCAGATGTTTCTGCAACAAAATTATGACCTTTTCATAATTACGTTGAAAGAAAGTCAAACAAATAAATATGGTGATTTCTATATTCCCCAAAACTTCTTTTTTTGGGGTGGGGTGGGGTTGAAGGGTGGGGTCAGGGTGTTAATATATGCAACAATTTTATGTGGCTTTCAATGATACTGACCAATGGTGTCTATTTTGTGGGCAATCTGCTCCAAAGCTAAGCTACAGGCAATCAGCTGTCTCTCCAGATTTGACATCTGCTCCGTCATTCTGTCATTAAATTCCCTCTGTAGTTTGGATTGTGTTACCAGATGTTCTATTCTACAATAGAATTCTGATTACTATGACAAGAATATCGACAGACTCATTTCACATCAAAATTATATGGTCAATACTTGTTAGCAAATACAATCTATCAATAAGTCAAATACAGACGGACAAATATGATATAGGAACATATCATTATCATATTAAGCTTATTTCAATCAGATTAGTTAAAAGTGTAAAACCATTGCCTGATTGCATAATGATAACTTATATTTTACAACAATTTGCTTAGGTGGTACAAATGTATAGGCTAAAACACACCTATAAATCTATCACATAGCTGATTTCTCTAACCTTTGACTCTGCTCTGTGTGTCTGATTTCTCTAACCTTTGACCCTGCTCTAATATCTCTAACCTTTGACCCTGCTCAGTGAGTCTGATTTCTCTAACCTTTGACCCTGCATTTGATTTCTCTAACCTTTGATCCTGCATCTGATTTCTCTTTTTTGACCTGATTTTGATTTTCTCTAACCTTTAACTATCTGTAAGTCGTCTCTCACCTTTCTCCTGCTCCTCGTTCAGTTTCTCATACAGATCTTTCCAGTAGCTGTAGTCTGTCGTGCCCTTAATCTTTACCACCATCTTTACCATACATTCTTTGCGCCGAGTACTTCAAATTTGTTGTTCAACAAAATTAGTTGCACCCATAATTATCAATTAGTTTTTGCTAGATTGGGCTTTGATATTTGATATATATCAATAAATCTTACACATGCTGTTAACTTTTTCAAGCTACAGAACTGATGGCAGAGTGGTTCATGAAGATACAATTTTAAAAAGATTTTTTTTCCTCAGATACAGTGTGTTCCCATGTTTGGTTTAAGATTATCATTAATTTATTAAGTCCATTTTTAGTGTATATCCATTTATATATCGTGGAGAAAAGTCTATGATCTATTTGTTGCAACCTTATATTCTGTTTTTTTACTATAATTATGATGGTTTAATATTTCATTTGGAGGTTCAAGGAGTTGGTTTCAATCGTAATTTGCCCTTTAAGTAAAATTTTTAAAAATTCACCACTTGATCCTTTTTCACAAGCGTTTAGGCACAGTTTGAGTTTCTGACAAGATGAACTGGGAGGCCGTGATGATGTCACTAATGAAGAGAGGGGTGATCTCAAGACGATTAAAGTCTACAATGATGCTATACACCTGGTATTTTGCAGATTTCCTCCAATTCTCTTATTTTGGCATTGGTGGCACTGAAGCATAACGTAAGATAATATATCTAACTACTCTGTCAGTAAATGTGTTTGTTAGTTTACAAGATTGTTCATTCTGTATTCTATCTAGTACATCTTTTGTCTGATAATATCAAGTATTACACTTTAAAAAAATATTCAAAGACTTTGGGCAGGTTGTGCATCATGAATTTAAAGGAAGGTGATAAAAATATAAGGAGGACTCCTACCTGAATAAAGCGTAGAGGAGAGTTAGAAGGATGAGTTTCGTAATGACCAGATACTTGAATCACTATCGCATAACCACCAAAGCTGACGGTACGGACACTTCAAAGCGTCTGAAATCTCACTTGAGCTATAATTCAGACAATAGTGAATCAATTCCATTTATAGTTAAATTGTTTATTAAATGATAAAAATGAGTATCAGACCAATCAATGAAGTAAAAAGGGCTGACTTACTTCACGTTCCTGATTGGAATACATGTACATGGATTTTGAGAGTGAATTAATACACATACCAGGTATAACTACATATATCTTCTCATAAAAACCTTACACTTTAGACTCAAATTTGAATTTTCTCCTCATCAAAAAATTCTTGGTGTATATCCCCAAATAATCTCTATATCCTGGATATTTTTTTATCTGACTAGAATGCATTAACCAAGTACCTGCACTAATGTATTTTTATTTTTGCCAATAAAGAGTAAAGAATTGTAGCATTTGATCTACATTTATCTGACATACTTGTATTTCTTTTCCAAAATGAAGCAGCAGCATCTGAAACACAAAAAACATTGCCAAATACTGTACATGTATTTTAAAAAGCAGGCTTCATATTTTAGCCTCTTTGGTGTA